TAAAATATTTAATGTTTTTTTTTTGTCGTTTTATTCGTTTACATTTATTCGTACGTTTTTTTTGAATAATTTTTATTTTATTTTTTAAAGTGTTGTTCGGATATATTTTTAATGTTTTTTTAGCGTTTTATTTGTTTATATATTCATGATCACTGTTATCATAATTCATAATTTAATTCATTTTTTGCGACGAAAAGTTTTTCATTTTGAAAAAAAAAACTAGTTTTTAATCGGATAAATATTTTTTTTTAAAAAAATAACTATAATAATCAATAAAATAAATAAAAATAAAATTAATCATTAATTAAAAGTTAAAGATAATGGTTAGTTAATTATTGATGTTGAAGTTGATTGTACCAATAAAGTAATGATTAAGAGGATCAAGTTAGGAAATAAGGGATCTAAGATCATCAGGGTGAAAGCAATTCCACATCATCACCATCTTCTTCACAACCCATCTACTATACATTTGGTGCGGTGTTCATTAGTGACCAACTAGTGAAGAAGAAAGAGATAGAGAAAAACGGAAGAGAGAGAGAGAGGGAGAGATTATGTAGACTTCTGTGGTGGTGACCACTCTACAATACATTCACTATGTTTTAGGATGGTGTTCACTAATTGACATCCCCTCTACATAGAAAACCTACGCGTGAAACAACTTCCATACCTAATGGTCCGAGTAATAGTAATCGTTTAAAAATAAATAAAAATGAATGTTACTTTATAGATCCATAAGTGTACAAATGGGTCTAAGAACCTACGAGTCGTCCAATCCTAATCCTAGGTGTAATTAACATGAAAAACCAAATCATCCCGATATACTTTTTTTGGGTGCGTGGGAGTTCATATCTAATGTTTTCCTAATTAGAACAAATCAAATCCATTAAATATAGATTAGACAAAACTTCAAAAATGGTCCCTGTGGTTTCTGAAAATATCAAGTTTGGTCCCTAATTTCAAAAAACCTTACAGATGGTCCCCGTGGTTTCAAAACTTTTAACAAATGGTCCTTTTCGCTACCATCGTTAGCTTTTGGCCGTTAAGTGAAGGGAATTTCTGTCATTTCACTATTACAGGGACCATTATGAAGTTTTGCCTTATTTAAAAAGATAAAAAAAAACATAATTATTTAATATAGAAGGGTCCTCTCTCTCTCTCTCTCTCTCTCTTTCTCTCTCTCTCTCTCTCTCTCTCTCTCTCTCTCTCTCTCTCTCTCTCTCTCTCTCTCTCTCTCCTGGTCATTTGCATTTGCATCTTTAGAACCCAAGTAATTATTGCATTGTTCATATACCTAAATTCAACTTACTTACTTACCTATATCTCTCGCGCACACATATACACTCGCATGACCTTTGATCTACCATATTTACTGGTCCCTGCTAGCCCTTTCTTTTCCTCTCCAACAAGCTTCAAACTCCAAATTTTCAAATCTGTTGTTTATGGTGTGGTGTTCGTCTCATTATGTCAAATTGGAATCTAAAGCTCGTTGATTTGTTCCGCCAAAGCTCACCCACTTACGATATCACCATCACCATTTTGTTTCCATACCGGTAGATGAATTCAGTTCGTGATTTGGAAACGCTCAACAATGGATTCCGCCAATAGGTGGATTCAGTTCAAGTGTGACGTCCCGGATCGGACGAGATGGATCGAGTCTGGCTAAGTGAAATGCTCGTCTCGTGATGCCTACTCGAATTTAAAGGCCACCGAGGAGAACAAGGCTCGTATCTTGTCAAAGTTTCCAAATTTGGAGATTATTGTTATGAAATCAATGAGTCAAGAAGAACATAAATCGAAGCAGATCTCTAGAAGAATCAAACCCAACTGGAGATGTCGATGATTGCTATAGGTGTAACATCCCAAAATTTTTACGCCAAATTTAAACTTTTCAATCATAAATAAAACAAAATAGTATTTTTTTACAAAAATGTTTTCAAATCATTATCCATCAAAGTGTCCCAATAACTAGATCAAAAGGATGAGGAGCGGTACGGTCACGCCTTTGCCTTGCTATGATCTCCTGAAGTACCTGAAACAATAAATTGAAAACTGTAAGCCCGAGGGATTAGTGAGCTACCCCCTAAATACCAACACCACACCAATAATACCATATCAATAACAGACAATCAACAACATGCATACCGGGCCATCGACCTGACTGGACCGCCCTGCAGGGCCTAGAGTCTAACTGAATCTGTCCCGAGCCTTCGGCATAACTAGACCGCCACGTGGGCCTACAGTCTCCCCGAACCGCTCATATTGTATGTTGGCCTTCATCACAAAGCAGGACCGCCTCAACCCAACCAACAAGCAATTATCCAAGTGCACATAACTAACATATACTGGCATATACAAACATCAAACATATCTATCTCACTGATCATCGATCATAGAAATCCCTCGTAACTAGAGTACCGACCTATCAGGTCACTAGCATACCAATCCCTACGGATCATAAGAGCATAGTATACTGACTATCCTGATATCGATCTAACAGATCATAACCACATGTAGCACATCATAACAATAACAACTTAAGGGCTGACCTTGGTGCTGTAGACCCTATTGATATAGTGAGGATAACTCAACTTGCAAATGTCGACTCGGTAGATGAACTCCAACTCTCGGATCACTGACAAAAGCTCCACCACCTGATACCATAGCATAATCATACTCATAAGTTTCCAACCTTTCAAGGTACCCCATCAGTCAACAAAACAAACCCTGGTCAAAATCAAAGTGATCAGTCAAGGTCAACAGTTCATGTTGACCTTAACTCGCCGAGTACCCTCGACTACTCGCCGAGTCACGGAGTGACTCCTTGATTTCCTTTGGTTAACGATCTAACTCTAGGTCCACTCGTCGAGTTTTCCTTCTTGCAACTTGACGGTTACACATGCATACGTACATTGGGGAAAACTCATCCGACTTGACGAGTGGTTCATACCACTCGTCGAGTTCTATGGCAATCTTCATCGAACTCGCTGAGTTGTTCATCCAACTCGTCGAGTCCAGGCCTGTCTTCATATGACTCGCTGAGTCGTCCTTGCGACTCACCGATTCCCTTCCGCCCATAAGCCATACAGACTCTTTTTAAGCCATGTAGTGGCTCTAAAGTACAGATCCAAGCTTTTAAGGCATGCATTTCATGTAAAGTTGCAAAATTTACGTGCATGCATGGCTACAAAGGCTCTAAATGACAATTCCAAGCTTACAATGGGGTTTCATACTCAAGGAAGGTTTCATACATGGCCAAGTTCATAGCTTTCTGACTCTAGAACCCAAGAAAGGTCCAGATCTGAAGTTACAACTTTAGATCTAGCTCATACTCCACATTATCATCTCAAATATGCCATAAAAGCCCTAAATCTCAATCAAATGAGGTCTAGGAGGAAAATGAAGTAAAGGTGGCGACTTGATACCTTCAAATGATGCTAACTGAGGTAGATTTCTGATTCCCACACCTTCCTTGCTCCTAATCTCTTGTCCTCCAAGCTCTTCCTTCCCAAAAACTCCTCTCTAAAGTTCAAGACAAACAAGGATGAACACCACACAAATTAGGGTTTCTCAATGGACTGTAAAGAGGCTAAAGGGGCTTATGCTTCTTTAAATAGGGTGAAAAACCCCAGGATTTAGGGTTTCATCTGACAGCTTCTACTCGTCGAGTCCCTTTATGGACTCGGCGAGTAGGCCACTAAATGCGCGATCCCACCTCGTTGCTACTCGACGAGTAGGGCAACAAACTCATCTAGTAGGCATCAAAACCAAATAACTTTCATTTAAACCCATACCTAAGAATCGAGGCGTTACAATAGGTTTCAGAAATTAGGGGTATAAACCCACTTGATTGGGCGCCTAGGTGGTCATCGTTTCATTCATAGAGGTGAGTGGTTTATTGATTTTGTATCAAAAGTGTGGGTAGTCAGTCAGAGATGATATGGTGGACCTAGGAGGAACTGCCAGCAAGTGACCAGTACACATCAATGTCGACTATTACCATGGTATCCTTAATTTTCCAGAATTTGGTTGTAAACTGTGAATCTGAAATTAATCATTTTTATGTTATCGATTGGAATTACTATCTTGTTATCATCAATCAACTTTAGATCTTGGTTGAACTTGTTCAATATCGTCGCTTTTAGGATTTTTGTTTTTCCTCCCCTCGTATCCTTCATTTTCTAGAATTTGTCTTATTCAAGTTTGTTTAGATCATTTGGATCTTGATTAATGGCTTTCAATTCGTTGTCAGTGTCTATAGTAGTATCGGTTTGGATGTTAGACTTGATTGTAGTTCATTTTGAGAAAAAAATTTGGAATGGCACGGTACTTTGATACCTTGTGTTTGATTTGAAGTTCTTGTTTGTGTTTACACTACTAGAAAAAAGGCCTTTTACGACGCTCATTGCGCGTCGTAAAACGCTCAGACGACGCGCAAATGCGCGTCAAGGAAGGCCCTGTCATAAAGAGAGACGACGCGCAATTACGACGCGCAATTATGACGCGCGTTTACGACACCCAATGCGTATCAAGGAAGGCCCTGTCATAAAGGAAGACGACATGCATTCGCGTGTCGTAACCTTACGACGCGCGTGTTAATGACACGCAATGCGTATCAAGAAAGCCCCTGTCAAGAAAGGCCATGTCATAAATGAAGATGACACACATTTTTGCGTATCATAATATTAAATGTTTTAAAAAAAATATTATTTATAGATTTACTAATTTTCAAATTAAATAATACATTAAAAATCTCATACTACAAAATAAAATACCATAAATAACAAAGATAATTCATTTCACTAGTATGTCAAATACAAATAATTATTCCAAAAGTGAGTAAATGTTATAAAAAATGAACTCATTTATATACAATTGCATTATAGAATTTATGTAAGAATATAAAAAACATAGAATAAAGAGATAAATACAGATAAAGAATGAGCAGCAGGTCCACTGAGAAGACGTTGTGCATGTCTCATAACAACTGCCAAAGCTGCTGGTTATGGTAAGCCACGAGCATTAGAAGGCAATTTTGTTGCACTACTATCTGATGGGTGATGCCTTGTAAAATATCAAATAAATCATGCAAATAATTAACAAGGAATATTTATCATTAAGAAATATTTTTATCAATACTAAAAAAATAGAAATACAATAGGTGTATCACATAATGAAACAAAAAATGAAAGAACAAGTGTTACCTGCATATTTGGTTGTGATACACCAATGGGGGGTTGACTTTGACCCCTACCCCAATGGAATTCAATGCTAGCTTTTTATTAGTGGTCCCACCAGTATTTTCCAATTTGTGACCTGAAATAGATCAAAAATATAATTAAAAAAACAAGTAACAACAAAAATATAAGAAAACAATGGAAAGGATTTTAGTATTTAGTCTTACAGACCTTGACCATTCTGGTATAAACTTGAAAACTTTGTTAATGAATGATCTACAGAAAAAAATAGATTTTTTTAATGATAATACTGAATTTACAAACAATAGTAAATTAGAAAAAATAACCAATAAGTTTTAGTAGTTTAAACCAACTTAATGTCACAGTATAGATTAAGGCTATAACCTAACTACAGTTAAAAACATGAGGTATAAAGTGGAAACAAGGAAGTGGGAATACAATACGATAACCACATACTCATAAAAGCAACTACGAACTTTGTCACATCCATGATGAATTGATATAAGTAGGAAAAAAAGCATCAACAAACTGAATCAAGCAACTGAGGGCATACATGTCTTTTTGGAGATGAATGTAGTTAGATTAAATGAAAGAAGCAAATACAAACCAGAAAAGAACATACACTTATGGTATAAAATATCAATGTTATTTGGTATAAGAACAAAAACATTCATTTCGTTTGCATTATTTAACACATCATTGTGTCAGGTCACTCTCTCCTCATGTTACATACACCTATTTTTTATGCCGTCAATGACCATGACCTTGTCAACTGCCATATCATACTCATCTATTTAATTTTTACCCATTCCACTTTCATCAGGTATTAAGTATTAAGTATTAACCAACAAACACCTACCTTTAGTTTTTCTTTCTTTTAGCAAAGCATCATAGACCAATCCAAATTCCAAAGTTAAAAAGCTTAAAGGTCCTTGTAAACCAGAATCTATTAATCAAGATTTTCATACACCGTTGTTTCAAGAGGAAAACTGCAGGTAATCAATGTCCTGCTTTTTCTGTTGATGCTATACTACCATTATCTCTAATATAATCAAATTAAATGATTGGTAAGTATTTTGAGTTACTTACCTTACCTCTTCATCATCATCAAGACAAAGACATGTCATGACATGTAGACTACTAATCCACCTTTAAACAATGCTTCAGGTACCTATCATCCAGAAAAACAACAAAACAGACAAAAATTTACACCAATCCCATCAAAAACAAATCCAGCTGCTATTATCACAAAAAACAAATATAATATTCTCCAGACAGTATTAAAATGTAGCAGCATCAAAACATATTATAAGATGAAAAAGTTAATAATACGAAGAAGTAAGAAGTAGACACCCACTCAGATAAACAAGGTCAACTCAGGCCTATTGTAGACATTCTCCCCTTCATCCTCTAAAACAAGATAAGCCGCGACAAGTGCATCCTGAGCCCCAATATACAACGAATTGTAAATCTTCCAATACACCTCCCTCACCTTCCTGGCCGGATGAAACAGCCCCTGCAAACAGTAATAATACATCTCCTTGTTTTTCATCATCCATGAGATCCTTTCCTGTAGCAACGAGGTTGATTTTGGCAATTTTATTGGTCTATGCATCACGACAGAACATCAAAAAAACAAATCCATATCAACACGTCGCAACATAGTAATAGTAGGGAATGCAAAAGAACAAACATATATATATATATATATATATATATATATATATATATAGACCGTCCCCAAAGGGTACATTACTATTTACTTCCAGAGAGTGATTTTGCACTATTATGACAAAACATCTCCTCGCATTGATTTCTGAAATAAAGAGAGAATATTACCTGTAAAGTAATGTTCCAAATGGACTTGTAAAGTTCTTATATCTTAACCATCTACCATTATCAAACCTGTCATTTTATACCAAGATTAAATTCAAAACCAAATTTTAGCTTGACTATCCATCATTATACCGTAACTGAGAACTGGGGACAAAAATAGCCTCAGGGGTATTTTGGGAAAGTTCCATTTTAATTAAGTTTTTGTATGAAAATATGATTGCAGTTTGTGAATTACCATAATATATCCTCTATTGTTGGCATAATTCAGGATAAAGCCAACAGGGGCATTTTAGGAAAAATGCTTTTATTATTTTCGTTTCCTGGTTTTAGACTGAGTCAAACTCTTTTTCTTTTAGTATAAATATGCTACGTTATAGGTATTTAGAAAGAAGTTTTTCAGCAATAAAAGTCTAAATGGGTCCCTCAAGCTCACAAGGTCATCAATTTCTTTAAATACACCAGCAATATTCCCAAACCCCAACTTTATTTAACAACTCTCTTAGGTTCCAATATAGAAGGCATGAAACCATTAAGCAATATTAAAAGTTTAAACAACCATCTTGGTCTTAAATCCCCTATTTGCTAGTCAACAACTCTCTTAGGTTCTAATATAGCATTATAATAATACATTGTCTGATTAAAAATTACAGCCCTGCATTTCCCTATCTCAGTCCCTAAATTTCTTAATAAAACAAGCATCCCCAAAAAAAATTAATAGCAAAACACTGAAAATTCATCATGTGATAATATTTATATATGTTTTAAACTACACTACAGAGAATATCGTTTTTCAAGATTTAGACAAAATATATTTCAAACAAGAAGCATCAACTTTGGCGTTATTGCTAGCATTTGAAACCCCAAAAATTGAGAAATTGAGCATGGCATGGATTGCAGACTACTACTCTAGAGAATATAGATTAGAGATTCAAATGCAGCCACCTTAGGTACTAGTTGCTTCTTTTAAATCATATTCTCCTAAAACCTAACCTCATTCACTCACTATTTCATATCTGTAATACCTTGTATATTTTTTAATAATTTGTTGAAGACACTGAGGAGATTGCCATCAGTTAACAAGGGGGGACACCAGCTTTACCAATACCATAGGAAGAGGAACTATTACTGTAACTCCATAATCAACAAAAGGGTTGTTTGGGGATCAAAAGATTTCACAATTCTAACCTGCATTTAAAAAAAATAAAAAAGAGTTCAACTAAAGGCACACGAAAAAAATAGTTAAACTCAAGTGAATAAGGGTCTCGCTGAGAACAGTTGCCTTCTGTGTCCCTGAGAACCTGTACAAGAACAAAACTTCATAGTATTAAACGAAACTGCCAATAAAAAATATATATTATGTTAATAAAGCAAGTAAATTACCTGAGTGCCCTTGCTATCTTTTTATGTTCTTCAAGAGGATCAACACTTGAAGCTGAACCAAATCAATTTCTCGGTGGCAAGTTTAGCAAGTTTGGAAATTTAAGCGGTGTCAACTTCCCCTGCTTCAAGGGCACTAATTGCAATCGAAATGACTTTAAATACACCAGCAATATTCCCAAACCTCTGTAAATAACAAGAAAAAGAAGTTCAAATAGTCTTTCTGTTTTCTGATTACGTGTGTAATTTATGTTACAGTGAGTGATACACGATGCTTGCTGTGAAATTAGAGTTGCCTTTACCAATCAACCTCTTCTTCGTCTAAGGAACTGGTGAGTTTTTGCCAATCCACCACCACAATGAGGCTGAAAACCCTAATCGGAGAAAATTGTTGCAAAATAGTAAAACCTTCAGAATTGTTGATTTGAGGTCAAAGAGATTTAATTACCTGGTTGAAACTTGGGATAAGGATATCAGAGATGCCTTTTGGGTTGGAGCGCGAAGCTTGAAGAGACATCAATAGATTTAGATTTGACGCATATACCTTACCAACATATTAGAACAGTGGAGTGGATAGAGAGGGAAGCAGTGGATTGGTGTTTGTCAAACAACGATTCAAAAGGAAGTATCGATTTCTTTGATGTATACGGCGTTGTTCCGGGAGATATTGATAGGTGAAGGGGATACGAGAGAGTTAAATGGAGGTGGACATGAGGTTGCCGGACCAGAGGCTGTCGGACGTGAGGTTTCCAAAAAGGCCAAGCGAAGCGAGGTGATATCATCGATTATTGCAGAGGCTAGAGAGAATCGAGAGAATTTGAGAAGCATCATAAGTCGTAACAACGATAGGTACATTCTTCATGTTTCTTCTCTTTTCGTCTCTGTCTCAGGGGACTAGGGCTTGAAATGTATTGATCTTCAGAGTAACACTAGAGCAGAGATCTGATGAGACGATTAACAAGTAAGGTCAAGAGTAGTGGAGAAGCAGATAGGAGAGGAGGGAGAGGGGAGAACCGATTGTGAAGATTAAAAATAGAAAGAAGGTACAAAAACATCAAGGCGGGTTTTCAAAATTTTGGGGATTTCATTTCCCCCCGTATCTACTAAATGCGCGTTCATTAAAATTATAAAGCGACACTTACAGACGACGCGCATTTAAGATACACCGCCCTCCGTGTTTTTAATTTTTTTTCTTATGGCACTAATGTAAGGGCACGCAATAATGCGTGACCTAAATCCTTAAATTTTTTGAAGAGATAACACTTTTTTAATGTCCCTCTCTTTTGCGTAACATAAATCAATGAGTGTCGTGGTTTGCGCGTCGTAAAAGGGTCTTTTTCTTGTAGTGTTAATGGGTTGAATCGAAGAGGCCATGTTACTGTGGAACAAATTTCACTATGTTGATTCGATGATGGTTTGAAATACGGTATAGAATTTGCAGGTCAAGGAAGAATAAGTTGAATTTATGTGTGTATGTGTGTGTGAGAGAGAGAGAGAGAAAAAGAGAGAGAGAAGAACCATTATATATTAAAATATATTTTTTTCAGTTTTCTTTTTTTGAGATAACAAAAACTCATAAATGGTTCGTGTAATAGTGAAATGATAGAAATGTCCTTCACTTAACGGTCAAAAGCTAATGGGGTTAATGAAAAACACCACTTGTTAAAAGTTTTGAAACCACATGGACCATATAACTTGATATTTTTAGAAACCAACAGAGACCATTTTTGATGTTTTATCTATATATTATCATTGGTTAGAGATAAGTTTAAAATATAAGTAAATAGTATGACATATTCATATAAAAATGACCTATGTTTATCGGTGATTTTCATGTTCATTTATAGATAAACATGTTCATCTAAGAACTTATATTCATAAATGAACATAAGTCATTTTTATGTGGTTTTATGTGGCTATGTAGTTATGTGATATAATTTGGTTATATGTGCAACCTACCATCTACTGTTTATATAACATATCCAATTAAATCCATTTAAATATCAATTTCCATCCAAATTCCGTCTATGCAATCTTATTTTATTTTTAAAATTTCTAATATATTTAAAAATATCATATTGAAAATTTCAATATATTATGATAATTGGACTATTAGATTTTAATTGGATGGATAATAAGTGGATATTAATTGGAAAAATGCAATTTGATATTAATTAGACCAGTTCACTTTATTAGTTGGATTTGGATTGTCATTAAAACCCGACCAATCCAATTTGGATATTAAAATTTTGGAACTAATATGATCCTGTTACAAATTGGACATATGATATTCGTTGGTCGGTTTTAATTAGATTAACCGCTTTGAATTGAATTAATTAATTTTTGCACATCCATGAGCTATTTGTATGAGAAACCTGTTAGGTTTGATTTTCTAATTTGTCTTGTTTGGGAAGCTTTTATACATATTTCAAATTTAGTCGGTTTTATTATCATTTAAGCCTTTTTCATGTATTGTTAATGATATTTGTAATTTCATGTATATTTAATTTGAAAGGTAAATTTCAGGTGTTCTTTTAACATTTTATACACTTCATTTTAATTTGAAATTCTTGAATAGTTAAATAATACATATTTTATTTAAATAAAATTTGTAAACTTAGCTATAAAAAGAACCGACCTTTGTGACCTCTAACTAAAAAAAAAAAACCATAGAAATGATGATCGGAGATTGTATATCGTGGTTACGTTTTGTTTGATGTGTATGCGTTTGAGTGGTGTTGTTGAAAGTTGAAAGTTGAAAGTTTAGCCTCATCTACCCTAATAAATAAAGATAATTTTGCTAAATGTCAAATTCTTATTGAATTTGACACATGTAATTTTCTTAGAATTTTTAATTTATTTTTTTTCCACTTGTCATTTTTATATTTTTTTTCATTTTTATTCAATTTCCACCTATTAAATATCACCTCATAACTATTAATGTGCATTAATGTATATAGTGAACCTTCTATTTGTGAATTTTTATTTCTATTTAATGAATTCAATTTGTGAATTTGTATTAACTAGTATTAGTATAGAATAATTAAGACAATTTACATAAATGATCATTGTGGTTTATTCTATTTATTGTATTTTTTTCGAAAATTTATTTTAAAAAGTACTTAATTTTTACACATTCATATTCAACATAATTTTTTAAAGATTATAATATTTTTTTATTAGTATAGATTGAATTACGTATTTATCATTTCATTTATATTTATTTCAAAATTATACTTTAGAAAATACTTCATGTCTATATCTTATATTTAACTTTTTTAATCAACCCATGTAATATACGGGTTTCAGACCTAATTGATAATATGTTTTTAAATCCGACATGTGAGTTATGATATCCTGATGATGATACCAAAAGAATTAAATGCTTGATCGGTTACCACCAAGAAACCAAAGAGATTGATTGGGTCAATATTTTCGCCTTTTAACATCTTCGATTTTGATCTCAGCTTATTTAGTAGTATATGAATATGATTTTAGAAATATAATCAATTTTTTTTAACAACAGCAAAATTTTTTAAAAAAAAAGAAAAAACCAAAGCTAGTTAGGAGCTAGCAAAAATACAAAGTTAAAACAAGATTGGATTAATCATCCAAAGCAGAAAACTAATCAATTACTATACGCAAAACTGATAGTAAGCAATAAACACGAATATTCGTTAAGAAAATAAATCATTTTTGAGCAAAACTTTTGCCACAACTTGTGAGAAAAATTTGTGCAAAGAATGCTTACTTTTTTTTTCAATGTGATTGCTTATTGTATATATTTTTTTTTACCGGAACAACTTAATTT